TGATGTTGACTGAGCTTCCATTATCCCCTAACATTCATCTCAGGTAGTTATGGGCCACGAAAGCCCTCACCACTAGGGCGTCATAGTGCAAATAATGCACACCCGTCGCATGTTCTTGAGTAAATGTGATTGATGGAATTAATTTTCGAGTAGAAGATTGGTTAACTATGAAACTTGTCATATGAGGGTCTTTTGCGTTCTTAGATTTTCCCCCAACATGTGGGCCTCCAATGATTGTGTCAATTTCTCTTATGGGTTCTTGGCCATTATTTGCAGGGGGGCTTCGCCTTTGCCTTTGACCTTCTCTAAATCTTTCTACATCATTATTTCTTCCCCTTGGGAGGTCATTTCTGTTGGAGCACCTCGGCTCAACATTCCTAGGCTGTTGGGTTCGCCTGGGAGGAGCATATCTTCAGAAGTGACTGCCTCTTCCTTGATTTGTGTTTTGGGAGTTTCTTGCGACATCCCAACTGTTCTCTGTGCGGTGGCCATGGGAATGATGATAGGTACAATAACTGGGAACTTCATCACTATTTCTTGATTTAGTGCCTTATCCCCTACCTATTTTCCTTTGTGGGTACCTCTGGTATGGTTGGCACTGAAATATTTCAGCATTAGGGTTTATTTCCTCATAAGCCAAAGTGGGTACTGCATTAAGCGTTGCTGCGGCCAATATTTGTCCATAATTAAGAGGTATCTGGTGATCCATCAAATGGGAGGTAGGACATTTTTCCCTTTGCATCTGGGGAGGGAAAGTCCTTGACTGGCCCTATTCCTATGATCTCTCAATTCTTCATGGATGATTTCTCGCCTTACAAGGCATCATAGGTTATAGGGTCTTTGTTTTGAACGTCTTTTCAGAAGAGAGAGTTCATGTCCAAACCTCCTCTTAAGGTAGTTAAGGCTTCTCTATCCGTGACTTGCACACAGTAAGTCATTTTGTTAATAAACCGGGACAAGAAGCTTTTTAGCGTCTTGCCTATTGTTGTCGCATGTCTTGTAAGCGTTGAATGGGCCTTTTACCCTCTTTGCTAGTGGCAAAATGCTTTAAGAACATCCTCTTGAAGTTCGGCTAGCTCTGGATGCTACCTTCTGGCAACCTTGTATACCAGATTTTAGCTTCTCCACTTAGAGTCAAGTGAAAGGCTCTACACTTCATAGTTGGGGTAGCCCCTTTCAAGTTCATGTGTGTTTTAAAGCTGTTGAGGTACTTCACGAGGTCACCCATCCCATCATACTTAGGAATTTTAGGGAGCATGAAGTGGTTCAGCATTGAGGCGTTCCTTATGTCTTGTGAGAATGGTGAGTGGTCATTGTCGTCATCGAGGTCGCAAGACCTTTGTGGTTCATCAGAATCTTTATTCCCCTCCTGATGAGTTTGGAGAGATGGATGGTAGGGCCCTGCCTTACTCATTGCCTGGTCCCTTTTCTCTCGTCTATTTCTATGGGGAGGAATTCGAGGCTCTTCGTGGTATCCTGGTTCTTGTCTTTCATACCGAAGAGGTTCCGATTGCCTATTTCTAGGCAAAGGAGGAAAAGGATGAACTCGTCTATTTCTAGCCGTAGGGGATGAATGAGCCGACCTATTTCTAGGCAACCCCCAGCTTATTCTATCGAAGGTTCTTGTTGACCTCTGAGGTCAATCTTTTGGTTCATAGTTTGGCAAAAAGTTAAACGGGGCCTTATAGGGTCGTTCCGAGGCGTAATTGGTTGATTTATCAACCTCAACCTCCCTTTCTGGGAAGCTTCCATCCTGGTGTGATAGTATCCAACGATTTGACTTTGGATTCTCCTTCTTCATGGTAATATCCTTAAGGGTCATGGAATGTATTTTCAGGGGCTGCGTATGGAGGAATTGGGCACTCTCCTCGACCCTGCATGCTTATTAACATCTCATGCATGACCATATTCTGCTGGGTTATATTTCTCATGTTGGCAGCCATTGTGGCCATTTCTCTAGTGAGCCTAGTTGCAATCCTGCCTCCACATCTGGACCCACCTCGTCTATGCTGTGGGGGTCATGGGCGAGCAGTTGGGACAGCTTGTGGGGGTTCTCCTTCTTCAAGGTGTTCCCTCGTCCTAAGAGGTGAACTTTCATTACCACTTGAACTCATTTTTCACAAACACTTTTCTCAACTAAATTTTCCTTTCTTCAATGATTGAATCAGTGTTGGATTTTTTGGATTTTCCAACGGTTCTTTTTTCAAGAACTCTCATTTTTCACAGGTTGGAAGTTTCCAACGGTCCTTTCTTCAAGGACACTCATTTTTCATGGGTTAGAACTTTTCTTTCCAAAATTTCCAATCTAGCTTTCTCCCACAGGTATTTTTCGTGGTTAAATGTTAGGTTTCCCACACATGGCGCCAATTTGTTGACCCAGAAAATGAGCCAACAGATGCCGGACCTACTCATGCCAAGTTAAGTACGATTCCAGTGCGTTTCTACCAGAATAATGGTGGTAGCAATAAGGAAATGGACGCAAGAGGCACTTTGAGGTGAGAGACAAAATTGTTCAAATTCTGGCGGGTGAAACAAAAGCGATTGCGCTAACAACGATCACCAGGCGAAAACTAAACTAATCTATATAATAACAAACACGAATACATAGAAGGATATATGAAATGTATATAGAAGTTGTTACATTGTATGTCGAAATTTATGTTCAATAAACATGTAAAGAAGACAAAAAAATATTCAAGCCAAGCGTTTGTATGAAATTCTTTTGAGTTCAAGTGTATATTTTGAATATATGATTGTTCAAATTCCAATCCGTAATCCAACCCCTTTTGAGTTACAAAGAGAACCTATTTATATTGCCTTGGACGATGTGGTGACCTTTGGATCATAACCATGTTGCCTCATCTCCCTAATTGAGGCTTTACATCATTGTCTATTCATAATTCAATACATTGATAAATGGTCAGCTGCCTTATACAATAGGCTGACACACTGACTAACTTTATTAAAAGTGCTACATCAATCACTTCTGAGAGATCTTCAAATCTATTGCAATAGACAGCGTCGGTTTCATGGGCTTCGGATGAGTTTCAGAGCCTTGGAGAAATCTTTGAGGTGGTCCTCCAAGTGGAGAACTTCAGCTCATTTCTTTGCTTTCTTAGGCGGTGTCTTAGCCTAAGGGGGAATGCTTTGTCCTTAAGGCAGTGCTTCAGCGTGGACTTCGGTTTTGTTTGGTTTCTTCATATTTTGACTTCATGGGTCTTTATTTTAACTTTTCAGTTGACTTTCTGCCTACGTGACTTGCTACGTGGCACTCTTACTTTGAGCCTCTAAGGCGAGGCGTAACATATCGTACAACTTGTTGATCGAGTTAAACTAATTAATTTAACAATTATCTTTAATGAAATTCTTACCATAAGCTTTTGCATCATGGAGTAAAATCATTTTAAAAAATCCTTTCGGCGCACATTAATGTGGTGCTTCCCTATATTCTCTCTCCCTATCGGAGCAAATTTGTACCCTGGAGGGTTGATAAGTGATAACTCTCGTGTATACCTACAAAATCCGGCTGTATGCAGTACAAATATGGTGGTTCACTTCCAATTTTCACATATAGCCTTTGCTGATGATGTGGTTATATTCGTTAATGAAAGTAAATCAGCGATTAAAATAATTGTACGATACATAGGTTCATATGAAAAGACAAAGTGTTCGCAAGTTAAGAAATCCAAAAGCGGTTTTGGTTGCCAATCACTCACAATGAGTATTATAATGAGTATTACTTATCTTCAATTTTGATTTTTCAATTAAGGATAAAATTATTAATTTTGGTACTTAGTCGCATGTTTTTTGAGGGACAATACTTCATTTATCATGTATTACTTATCACGATTCGTATACTTGTGCAATCAGCAAACTAGAACTACAAATCTTTTTTTTCTTTATTCATATTCATCTTAATTAAATTGCAAATTTGCTAGTATAAGTTTCGATGCTTTTTTATCTTATTAGTCAAAATTAATCTCCCGAGTTGGTTCTTGATTAAATAAAATTATAATCTCATTATAATTTGAAGTTAAAGTCAAATATTAATTATAACCACAAATTAGTTCACAGCTACGATCCTCAGCTTAGTATCAACCCACCTCATAAGATCCATTACTCATTTTCATTTAAATTATAATTTAAGCTTTATTACCATAAATATTATGTAACAAAAGATACTACTTTGGTTTGCCTACACCTCTCCCAACTATTATAGCTATAACCGTCTTTAAAACTTGTCAAGACACTGGTATAGGTAATAGCGTTGAACGGTCATTATAACTTTTAATAACGAAGAAATGTTTACCTAGTAAAAATGGTATATTATAAATATTTTTAATTGATTAAAAGAAAATTAATTAATGGTATAAATATTTAATACTTAATACTAATTTGTGACCGGCAATTATTAGAATGCCTAGTAAACCCTTGTTTGGTACACATTCTTTCAAAACTCATTTACAACCACACAATTTTCAATAAAATAATATTTTCCATCATATTAATAAATAGTAACTCTTATTTAAAAGAATTCAGTCACAAAACTCAAAACTAACAAATGACTGATTTTAGTTAAAAAGTAAATAAAAAAAAAATTAAGGAAACGCTATATAGATGTAGAATTTAAAAAAATAAAATAATAATAATCAATGTGTTCCCATGTCCTTCAGTCCTTGCAACATAGTTTCTTAGATGTAGAATTCCGTGACACGTGAAACCTAGGAGAAGTTTGTTCCCTTCTTACATTGAAATCCTACATTGATGCAAATCCACAATCCCACTTATTTCACTCCTTTTTCAGACATTAGCAATAAGTTGACCACTTGGCCAATTGCCAATGGCCAAAAACTTCACAACCATAATTTTCAACGAGAATTCCTCTCCATCCTATGCTATTAGCCCTCCAGTCTCGGTTTGCAATTTGCGTTGCAACAAAGATTAGTATAAATATGTATATACCTCAATAATATTGGATAAGAAATCAAAAAACACACAAAATGGCTGGAAAAATTATGTCTTGTATTGCCGTGGAGGCAGTTCTATTGAGCATTCTTCTATGCATCCCCATTGTTCTTTCTGATGATACAGCACCTATTCCAACGGACATTGCTCAGTTGAACAGTTGGTTTGATGGCATTGTTCAACCGCTAACTGCACGGAAAACCGCCTTGGACCCCGCCCTAGTCACCGCAGAGGGCGAACCCAAGGTGATTAAATTGAAAAGCGATGGAAGTGGCGATTTCAAGACTATCAATGATGCCATAAAAACCATTCCTGATGGAAATACTAAACGCGTTATTTTATCGCTTGCCCCTGGAAATTATAGTGAGAAAATCAAGATTGGAATGTATAAACCATTTATCACCTTCTATGGGGAAGATCCAAATAACATGCCAGTTCTGGTGTTTGGTGGAACAGCAGCAGAATATGGAACTGTGGATAGTGCCACCCTCGTTGTGGAATCAGATTACTTCAGTGCTGTTAACTTGAAAATTGTGGTAATAATTTTATATTTTTTATTAGAAATGTAAGTACATTTCTATGTGATTAATTTCCATATTAATTCTTGATTTTGTTGGTTGTATTAAATAAATTAGAATTCTGCACCAAGGCCTGATGGGAAAAGGGTGGGAGCTCAGGCAGCAGCACTGAGAATAGGTGGAGACAAGGCATCTTTCTATAATGTCAAATTGTATGGATTTCAAGATACCCTTTGTGATGACAAGGGAAAACATTTATATAAAGACTGCTATATTGAAGGCACTGTTGATTTCATCTTTGGTAGTGGCAAATCCCTTTATCTGGTAAGTATATTAACCATCTCATCTAAAAACACGAGTACTTATTTAAATCTTGTCTTCACCATTGTCGCGTATTTTCTTAGTAAATACAAATATGCATGCAGAATACGGAGTTGCACGTGATTCCCGGGGATAAAGAGGCGATGATCACTGCACAGGCAAGGACAACTGACTCGGAGGACACGGGCTACTCTTTTGTGCATTGCAAGGTGACTGGCACGGGCGGCGTTGCCTATTTGGGCAGATCTTGGATGCCTGCAGCTAAAGTAGTGTTTGCCTACACAGAAATTAATGACGCTATTAACCCTAAAGGATGGTCCATTGTCAAACCTGAGCATGAAAGGTCAGCCATTCTTACTTTTCTTTCATCTACTTACATTGTTACACTGTCCAATTCCTTGTTTTGATGATCTTATTGGTATTAAATTACTTAATTATGTTTATGCAGCACCGTTCGCTTCGCAGAATATGAAAACAAAGGACCCAGAGCAAACATGGATAAGCGAGCTAAATTTGTTAAGAAGCTAACTGATGCAGATGCCAAACCATTCATTAGCCTTTCCTATATAGAGGCTTCTAAGTGGCTGCTTCCTCCTGCCGAAGCTTAAAATCTATTACTTCAGTTTGTCGCGATAAGAATTCAGAGCGTCATATTAGACTTGTCGCGAGAAGAAAGGAGAGTCTTAAAAGACATGGCACGGTTACTACAAATAAATCTAGAGAAAACTAGTTGTTACCTACAATTTTTCAGAACCTATATATTTATAGCCCATGTGTGGTCCGGATTAAAATTTGATTTTAATCCAAATCAAAGTCAAACAATTATCAACCACATCTTTTATAGGCCACACATCTTTTCAACCACACATTTCAAAAACTCCTATTACAATCCACTAAAAATCCAATTTTAATCCCCACCAAGCCCCCCTCTTAAATTAGATGCTTTTTTTTTTTTTATCATTTTGGTTTCATTTCCGGAGGTCGGGTTTAGCCGTCCTCTTTAGTTGTACTTTACTTTTCAAGTATTAATATTTTGCCTTCTTTGTGATGATTTTATTTAACTCCAATTCCTTAATAAAATTTTACGAGAATAGAAATTCCTAAATAGTCTTTAGATCAAATTTTGGTATGGGGGAGAAGGGGGGCCTCCCAATCTCACGGTGACGTCACCATGGAGGTCGATGCACGATCAGCTCCGCAAAATAGCAATAATTAGGGTCGACAATGGCTCCACAACTTAATGTAACTATCATGTAAGGTATATAAAAAATAATAAATTCATTCATTAATGTCCTGTGACATGTTCCAACTGAGCCAGTGTAACCCTAACAGTCCATTAATGAGAGTAAAGGACGATTACAATTATTTATAACTCCTTAAGATACCATTTAGTTCCCTCTAATGTCTCCATGAATGACCACAGGCTGTATGATTGGACCACCTGAATGTCAATGTTTGATTATCAGAAGAGCCCCTATACCTCTTCCAGTCATGAATCACCGCCGTAAGATCAGCCAATTTGGCGCTGATGCTCCGGCAGCAGTTGGCATGGACGGTGGTGACAGCCCTAACGTCCCGGCTGTCCTGGCAGAACCCGCTGAAATAAACAGTGTCCAAAAACCTCACTTTGAGGCCTAATTTTCTGAACAAACCTTGGTGCATTAGCCTCAGTAATACATCTTGCTCTTTTAATCCAGTCGAGTTGCCTTTTTTGGCATACCAGGAGTCGAATAGGGAAATGGTTTTGTTGTTTGAGTTGATCATGTAGAAGCCCGTGTTGATAGGGTTTGCTTTTGACCATTGATTGCCATTGAATTTATCAGTGCTGATTTGCAGGTCCATTGATTGGTTTAGGCTTAAATGATGAAATGGATTCCTCAGCCATAACACATCTGTGTCCTGTCAAATGAAATTTTGATTAGCAAAAGTTTAGGTTAAGTAAATTCGTTTCCAACCTACTCGATAACCTAAGCGTCGTCCAACTTCAGTATTGTACGAAAAAAAAAAAAATATAGAATTTCATGCATAAGCCTCTATTTCACATAGTCATAGATAATCCAAGTCATTTTAGTTCTATGGCATTTATATATCTTTCATCTTATATAACATTTCACAACAAAAATGTGTTATATTTTGTAGGTCTATCATCAAGTCAAAATCACAATGTATTATCTTAGGAAATATCGTCTACGTGTAAATTATTTCACGAGAATAATGTTATCTAACACCAGTAGTACTAGAGTATCAATCTAACGTCAACATGTGATAAATCCTAATCAATGAATTATAAATTATTGTATTTAATTGAACCTATAATTTAAAAACACAAGTGATGCATGATGAAGGAGAACGTAGTAACAACGGGGGGAGAAACCAGAGAAAATGGGGGAACAAGCCGGAGTGATTGCTCCAAGCAACGTCGTTTTATTTCATCATATTCATTAACTATTCCGACTACTATGAAAAATCCAATAAGTAGTAAAAATCTAACCTACTAGTGACGGGTTTAGGCCAACACACAACTACAAGTCCAATAATAATAAAAAAACGCAATTAATAAAAATCAACAATAATATAAATCGTGATGTCCGCATCAGATGAGGTATTAAACAGTGGTGATGAATTGCATTACTCATATATATAACTAACAAGATTTTTTTTATTTTTATTTTTTCATTTATCTTGGTTATCCAATTTATTGAGATATTCTATCTTCTTTGCTATTCAATAAATGTTCCCAAGTCAAACGGACTAATTTCTATGTCAAAAACAAAGTTTGCGCATTCTAATTTCTCTGTCCAAATCAACTTCAAAGTTTGAAAATGCATTATAAAACAAATTGCACATCATTGTCTATAAAACAATAATATGAAAACAGAAATTACTTACCGTAAAAATGAAGTTGTAACCATGTTTCAGCACATCTCTCAGGAATAGGGTTCTTCTCCACATCATCTTGATAAAATCATCGGACATGTACAGTTTTTCGCTTACGTAATCTACGCCGTCCGTTTCGAGCTTGTAGCAACGAAGCCTAAGAAACTTGCACCGTTCATATGATGTTTGATCCATGGCCACAATCAAAAGATGATTAATTAGGGATTTAGTGTCTTCCCCTAACCAAAAACCATCCAAGAAAAGATCAAGCATCGGTTTATCGCCTTCAACATATGCTTTATTTACTATAGAAATTATCAGAGTCTTGTTTTCTGTTGAAGATGCTGACAAAGCCTCTTCCAGTTCATCTCTGTAGGTTGCCATTTTGTACTGTGTTACAGACAACCCATGTTTTATTTTCATAGTATACTAAGGAAATCTCCGATTTTTTTTATGAAAAAATGAATTTCAACTTAAACTTTTAGACGAGTGCACGAAAAAACTTACTGTTTTCGAGGGCGAACACTGGGATGTTTGTGATGTCAATAAATGCCCGCTTTTGCTCGGATTCAAGAACAAAATATATGTGATGCCAAAGAACAAAAGCAAATATAATACGTAATCGAAGAGGCGATTCTTCGGGCTATCCATATTCACTGATCTTGGAGGAATTATGATTATGCCTTCTGAAGAATGGATTGTTGCATGCTTCACAGGAATTTTTTTTGGTATATATATATTTTTTTGGATACAAAAGTGGGATTTTTCCAATGTATTCAGAACTTTGAAGTCCCTGATTGTGTGCCTAATTTCAATTCCGTGTTGCAATGGATTATATATTCAGAATTTTCTCATTCTTTGACTTTGTAAACGTGTCACTTGAAAATTCTCCAAAAATTTGTTCAACAGTATAGAAGATTCATCTTAAGAGCATGTTTGGCTAAGTTGAAAAGAAATAAAATATTGTTTCAAAAAAGTACAGTCACTTTATTGTACCGACAACTAATTACTTATTCACTTATGAGTACACTTTTTAAGCTTGGCCAAACATGATCTACACTATTTTGAAATTTGGAAGGACTCTGAACCGGAAATCCAGCTTATTAAATAAGAAAGGACTCTAAGTTGCAACTAAGTGTAAAAAAATAATTAAAACCAGCTTATAAGAAGTAAACTGTAATTTAAAGAAAATAATCAAAAATGATAATGGATAGTGATATTTCAACCATAATTTTCCTCTTTTTGGATTCTTCTTCTTCTTCTTCTATTATTATTATTTTATTTTATTTTATTTTATTTTTTTATTTTTTGAAAAATTATGTTGAGTTACATCTCATGTAAGAGATGGCTTGCTATTATTATTATTATTATTATTATTATTGAAACAAATTATTTTTAGTAATTATTTTTTCTACAATCTCAATTGAAGGAAAAGACGTCATCAATTCAAGTGTTTTAGTAATAGAAAAAAAAATGTTATTTTATGAATTCGAAGGATTTAATCCATAATAAGATAATGGTATGCGTTGGGATATTGACGACTTCAATTACAGATAGGAAATCTAAGTTCTAATTATTGACGACTTCAGGGACGGATGTACAGTGGACTGGGCTGCGCCGGGCTGTAGTTCGGTTCAATCTCTCAGCCCACAGAAATTTTTTTGTAATATAATTTTATGAATTTTTTTTTTTTTTTTTTACGTATTAGCTCAACTTGTAATCTATTCTTGGAGGACTTTTATATTCTTGAAATTGGACGAAAAAAAAAATTCAATTTGAAAAGAAAAAAAGAATGGCAAACAATTTGTGGCGGCACTCTACCTCATGGGCGAAATAATGTGGAGAACTTTAGAACAAAAACGCGTTGTTGTTGTTGTTGTTGTTGTTGTTATCATCATCATCATCATCATCATCATCATCATCCCTTTCGGGGTAAGCAATTTGAAGATTTTTAGAAGAAAATTTATAAGCCTAGTATCCTAATATTATGATTCTCTTGTGAGTTGTACAAAGAGTAGAAATTAATAATTGTGGATTTTTCTTATGATACTTGGAAGTTTGGACGAATGAAATTCAATATGGTTTTATGAATTTTTCATATACTGGAAAGTTTTGATAGTCCGTAAAATTTTCATTATCTTTTATATTTTTTTCAAAAGATCACATACACAAAGGAAAGAGAATTGATCTCGATTCCTAGTGGTATATACCGAGTTCCATCTCATAATACAACTCAAAAAAATAAATAAATAATCAGGAGAGAAAGAACTAACACTCAAAATTAATGAACTGTGGTCACGCCACCAACAATAACCAAAAGGATTAAGAAAATTTCACTATCAAATCATAATGCTGTCTATTTTCTTCCCTGTATTTATATTGGTAAGTAGGTAAGTTTTCCTTTGTGGCAAATGGTAAGATTTCTTTTTCTTTTTCCATTACTTTCCCCTTTTATATTTGTTTATAATGTGTGGCCACATATGGTGAAAGCCACACAGATTGCGATGTTTAACAACCTTGAACTAAGAGCATATCATGGAGTGTTATTTAGGTGAAAATTGAAAGGCTTTAATTTAGTCCCGGTTCGACTCCATTAAAATTATAATTTATTTTTTCTCTTATTATCAATCACCTATTCTCCAATAAAATAATATTACACGTAAAACAATTTTTTTTTTTCCTTTTTCAACTATGCATTCTTTTAAAAAATACTACTCCAAATATTGAAATGACAAATAATTGGGGCCAAACGGGGCTTAATGTTTATTTTAGAAATTTTTTTAAGGATACAATACAAAGTTTAAACAAGTAATGCTTTTTATCATCATGGTGATAAATCATCAGGTGACAACCCATTATCCATAACGTTCATATTTCTTTCTCTCATAAAAATTGAATGGTTGAATCTCATTATTCCACATAAACTGCTACATCGTTGATGATTTATCATCAAGATGATAAATAATATTATTCTTTCTTTTGATAATAATATTCACAGCCTTAATTTTATTAAATGGAAATTTGACTTACTTGTGGTTTATCTGGGGTCACGATCTTTTTCTTTTTGGTGCTTAAATTGACAATTGCATCTTTAATGGACCTCTTAACAGTGTCCTTTTTGTTGGTCTTTATTCCCAAACATTCGGATTTGGTGTGCACACTTGCTGCAATGGATGCAAAAACTTGTTGCGTTTTTTCTATCGCAAGCGTACGATAACGTAACAAGTAGTAAAGTGGACTTTTGAGTCCGAATTATCGTTCCCACGAGAACTATATTGTGGTTTTAATCTACTTTTTCTTACTCTTATTTGATGAAAGTAAACAAATAAAGTATGGTAAAAGTAGTGAAAATTATTTTTCTTTTATGAAGTAACTACCTAAAACTAATGAAAAGTATAAAAAGATTTCAAACTCTGGTTGATAGGAAATTGGAATATATAATTGTTGGGTTTTTTGATACAAGTATGGTAAAAGTTGTGAAAATTATTTTTCTTTTATGAACTAACTACCTAAAACTAATGGAAAGTATAAAAAGATTTCAAACACTGATTGATAGAAAATTAGAATACATAATGAATATTAGGGCAAAACAAGATCATCTAATGATCACCTCAATTCCTAATTTAAGATTCTAGTCTAATGTAGTGTTCGGTCGAATTCTCTTATGATATTCAATTTACCCATCTCTAGTTCTCATTGAGTCTATTTAACTAATTCAATTCCATATCTCTATGCGAATTACCCTTAGTTAAACGAGTTATATCACTATAAATTCATATAACGACCACAGTACTAGGTATAGGTATCTCTACACATTATACTTCGTTACCGAATTTTATTACACGTTCTAAGTCTCAAACTCACCTCTCGATTCGTAAGAAACTCAATGGATCATCAAATTAGTGATCAAGTAATTCAGTGTATTGCAATCATAATAAAATCAACACATGGAAGAATAAAACGTAGAATTCTTGAGTTAAAGAACTAATAGTCTCAATAGATTACATTGTTTGCCCTAATAAGGAATTTAATTGTTTATAATGTAAAAATAAACACTAAAAGTAATAGAATACATCACCGAATCTTAATAAAGATGTAGAAATGAATTAAATGTTGCACCAAGATCTTCTTCCACTTCCAATCAACGCTTTAAACTCAAATCTCATGATGATTCTCTTCTTTGAATTTGGCTCTTCGATCTCCCGTTGTATTCTTGTTTCTCGATGTTTGGAAACCCCTTTTCAATGTGTGGGAACCTCCTAATACATGCCTCCTTAGGTCTATTTATACTTTCCTACATGTTCTTGGCCAAATTGGAGTCTTTTTGTAGGCTTTTCGTGCCCAAACAACAAAACCTAAAAATTGACGGCGTAGCGTCTAGGCGCCACGATTGCAGAACCTGGGCACTGCCTTACTGGAAATGATCAGTGTTCGGGCGCCTATACGCTAGGTAGGTAGCGCATGGAAACTGAGTTGCTGTTCACTTTGCGTCTGTTTCATTATTTTTGTCATAACTTTCTCTCCCATATCCGATTGAAGTAATTCAAAATGTGTTGGAAAGTTAATTTAAAGGGCTACAACTGTTTTTCAGAAATCATCTTCAAATTCAATCGTTCGCTATGTCAAATATGGATCACAATATGAGTCTAAAAATCGATGCATAACTCTTTCAATCCTAGATCGATGTGTGATCATATTTTGATGATATTTTATCCATTTCTATACAAATTTTGAGCATTTGTACTTCAGTCCCCCAAACTTTGGATCTTGCCTCTTTTTCACCAATTTTGCATTCTTTTCTTTAATTCTTCATTATCCATCGAATTTCACCTAATAACATATTATATCATAAATTAGGCTATAATTTCATTAAAAGAACCACAAAATGTCATAATTTGGAGCCTGGATAAGTGCAACTTTTGAATTTCAATTTACACTATGCGGTTGCATGGTTAGCTTCAGGGAATTTCAAGGCTGAGTTTCATTGAACTATGCTATAGTATGCGTTTGTACTATGATATAGCATAGTATATTTTTGGAGAAAAAATTATGGTTTCCTTATATGATTTCAACTCTTATGTAAACAAAACTTTTTTAAAGACCTAGGGTTATCCAGAAGTGTTGAGAATGCATTACAACACATTCTAAGAGATTTTGGGAGTATAGAAGGAGGCAAGAAACACGAAGACCGATTTCAAGACTCGAAAATTCAATTCAAGATTTATTTGGTTGATGTCGATTCTTCAATATTTCTTTTACTTTTTTCTTCATAACATGCTGGACTAGTTTTCTTTGTACTAGGAGAATGATGAACCATGTAATATCAATTTTTAATCTTTAGGTTTAAATTATTAAAAACACGTTTTTGGATATTGAATGATTTATATGATTTTCTTTCTCCACAATTGTTGTGCACGATAGTTGTGTGAATGTGGTGACCTATTTTATGTATTCAAAAGAAAGGAAATAGGTGCAGATATAAATTTCCATAGGGTTCGATATGTTATAGACATATACCACTGTGCTCTATGTGAATCTTTAAATGTTCATAAAAATTCATACACTCTTCTATGTTCACATCAATCATAGAAATATAGTTGTGTCATATATAAGAGTATGTTTAACATCACTCGAGAGAGATTGTTAAATAAATAGGAACATTGATTCGTCAAAATTGAATCGTGCTATCAAAGTGTAGAACTAAGGTTAAAAAGGATTATTGCACGGAATTCGGAATTCTTGTGCGTTTGTCATCTATTAAATACATCAATTTGCATTTAGTATAATTTGTATTTAGTTTAGTTAATTTACTCATAACTGCATAAGTAGATTAATTTATTCATAATTTTTTCACAACAAACACATCATATTATTCTTATTTCGGTTAATATCATGATAATTAAAATTGTATTTTAAACCCACTAATTATCTAAGCTCCCAACAGTCAGCTCTTACTTATGCACTTGTATATAGTTTTTTTCTCTTTTTGGTTATGTTGATATTTTCTTTTCAGTTCAATATTGACTTCACCCTTTTTAATGAGNTTTGTGATAATGGTATGGATTATACAATGCGTTATATTTGTAGAAGATAAATTTGTGGTATAGGTTTCGGGGATGTTTTGGTGAATGACTCTAGAGAGAGACGATTAGGGTGGAAGATGAATGGACTTCATTTTAAAGATTTTGAGATTAATCATTTCCGTTAAGAGCGTGTTTGTTGGTGTAAATTTAGCTATGTAAATGAATTGCTTATATGATTTGGTTAAGTTTTCATATTTTGTTTTTTACTATAAATATATAGTATTTATTATTTAAAAAAGTTGAAAAGTAATTTCTAAATATTTATTAAAAAATAGGTATGAGATATAATTTCCAAAAAATCGACATGTAAGCCACACGGAACATGCCTCAATTTTTTTTTTTTTAAAAAAAAAGGAAAGGGAAAATTAGACTATATGCCCTAATTATAAGATTGTTTTGAAAAATTATGTGAAAAGTAATTATTCAAGTATAAAATACTGCATTTTCACATTAATTATAAAATGTAAATTCGAACAAGTTATTTTCCCAGTGCAACAAGAAGACGATGGCTCATTCACTGTAAATGCCTTTCATTCGCCTGAATCCGATGTTGGAGACAAGTTTTGCACGGCAAAATAATAATTAGGTGTCTTGGAGATGGGTCTTTGACATGTGGCCCAATTGTAAACTGAAATTTCTTTTGCAATTGATACTAACAATTATCATATTTCATGGTCTATGAACTTTCTATTCAATTTTGAGTTCTAACCAGAAGGGTGTCTTCCAGCTATAGATATAGATAAATACATGCTGTGTTTTAGAATTCAATTTTAGCAATATATGCACAATACAATTGCAAGTAAAGGTTCAATTTGAATAGTGCTCTTTTCGTGTTTGTTATATAATGCAACAATCAAGATTACTCTGCTTCACTTGAAAACATACTTTAGTTCTATTTTCTTTTATACTATTATGTCCTCACATTTCCATTAGAATGTACTGGAGCATGTGTAAGGATGGTAGTGGTGGGCAAATGGGGACGATGTCAGCGAAAATTGGGTTGGGGTGTAGGGGGGAGGGGGGTTGATTGGTGTTTTATTACTTTTTTTTTTAGTGTTTGTTACTTCTTTTATTATTTTCACTTTTTCGAAATTTCTATCATTTGTTTTATTGTTTGTTACTTTTTTTTTAAATTTCTATAACTTTTTTGAGTGACAATATATGTTTTGATTGATAATTTGTCACTTTTTCTATCACTTTTTTAAAAAATTGTCACATTTTATTGTTTGTTATTTATAAAATTTTTTGTAATTTTTTTGTTGATAAATATAGGTTTGAATCTTTTCATTGATGTTTTGTCACTATTTGTGTATTTGTCATTTTTTTTGAATTTTTGTCACTTTTTAAATTTTTGTCACTTTTTTTTTTTAAAAAGAAAAATTTATCACATTTTTTTTTACTTGTTAATTTTTTTAAAAATTTGTCACTTCTTTGAGGGATAAGCATAGGTTTTGATTGGTATTTTGTCATTTTTTGTATTTGTAACTTTTTTATTATTTGTTTCTTTTTTTGAAATATCTCTAACTCTTATGAGTGACAAACATAACTTCTTAATAAAAATGAAATTTTATGTCACTTTTTAATAAAATTGTGACACTTAATTTATACAGTATTGCAAGGTTTGAATTCATTTCATATTTAAACTTTGAAAATGTAAATACAAATATGAATGAGAAAAGTAACATTCGATGTTACTTCTTTTAAGAAGGTGGCAGTTTATCTCATTTGAATTTTTTGAATCAATGAAATTGTGAATTGTTTTGGATCAATTAAATAGATGCATTCATGTGTTACATAAAACATTAAAAATTCTACACACTACTTTTTTTTTTTTTTGTTACTTTCTTGAAATTTTTGTTATTTTTTTGAGTGGCAAAATCACTTTTAATAAAAGTGACCTTGTATCACTTTTTAGTACTTAATAATAATAATAAAAAAAAAGTGACATTGTACCACTTTTTGACTCTTAATTTTACAAAGTATTTTTTCACTTCAAAATACTTTTTATAAGATTTTTTTAAAAGACATTCAATTTTAAGGGTATTTTTGAAAGTTGTCCAAAAAATAAGCGGTTAAAGGCCTAAATGGAAGGGCCCAATAACAGGCCCACTAATGGCCGATATAATGGTTTCAAATGATTGGCTCAGATCCGGAACCGGTCGTTAATTATAAGGGAACGAACCGGTTTACATATTACCGGATATTTACATATTACCGGATAACCAAAGGTCGAAAGAAAGTCAAATAAGGACCTCAGTGTTGCTCCCATGGCTTCCACAACCCATATACCCTTCTCTCCCCTTCTTTCTATCTCTAAAAACCCAATTAAAAAATCCCAGATTGTTGTCTATTTCACCAAACTGCGACTTCCGGTGAAAACTCACGCAACGGGCACGGATTTGGTCGGCGATTTTGGAGCCAGGGACCCGTTTCCAGCAGAGATAGAGAGCAATTTTGGTGAGAAAGTGCTGGGAAATGTAAACACTGAGCATAAGATTTTGATTCCAACTGCCGCCGCGCTGTCTCTTTCGCAACAACTGTGTACTCCCATTTCTCATCTTCAGCAACCTATGCCTGAGGATGAAGCCAAAAAGATGCTGTTCAAGGTAAATCTGTATTTCTACCCTTTTATTCATTGACCCTTTTCAAGTTTCGAAGCAATTTAATGGGTTTGTTTCTTCAAGTAGCATTTTTGTGTGATTCATATGCATAAATTCAAAGGTAATATTAATGAGAAAAGCATTGATATTAAAATATAAATTTATAGGGAGGAAGTATAAGAAACTATCTTCATTTACATGCTTGTCATAATAAAATAATGTAATCTTATTGTTGAAGACAAAATTTGAATAAATAAAAATGTCTTGCTTATTACAGCTAAGCTTTTCAATGAAATTGTTCATCACGCTATCATAGCATGCAGTATTCTGAGCACGAGTCACGTCGCCACCAATTTATGAAACTTGTGCACGTTGGATCTTTTCTTCTATAGGTTGTTGGCTGGAGAATTGTACATGAAGATGGCGGTATAAAGCTTCGGGGTTTATGGAAATTGAGGGATTTCAAGTGTGCGGTTGAACTCATTAATAGGATATGCAGGGTTGTAGAGTCCACGGGGCATTTTCCTACTCTTCATCTAGAGCAGCCCAACCAAGTTAGAGCTGAACTATGGACTGCTTCAATTGGTAAGATAGTAAGAGCCAATGAGCTAGTTTTAATTGATTATTACTTTGTTTCTATATTAGCTTTCACATCATATAAATATTGAATTTGATGGTTGCATTTCCCTTTTTTCGTTCGGTGATAAATTGATCTACAGTCTCTTGAGCTCCACACAAGGGGCTCCTGCACTATCTATACTCATTCAGACTAGAAATAGATTACAGAATTCCTCATATTAAAGGTACACAAGCCCAAAAAATTGTACGCTATGATACTAGAGAGCCATAATCTTGAAACTTCTCTCGAAGAAAAAATAACAGAGATTAGGACCTACTCCAGAACACTTCATCTTATATTGTTTGCTGATGAGGAATAAATGCTACCTACGACTACCTTTCCTTTGGCTGCAACCGTGAGCTCATATATGAATTGAATCTTCATTACCTTTCCTTTGGTTGCTACCGTGAGCTCATATTTGAATTGAATCTTCATTAAATCCCATGAGATTATATCAAATAAATCAAGTTCATATGTTGTTTTGACTTGAGTAATTTCTCAGAATCTCATGGGCGTATAAGTTGCAGTACATACTCTTGTTTTAATGTTCATGAGTTCATATTAACTTGAATTATTTCCCATCAGTATACCAAGCTGCATTCCAGTCTGATGACGTTGTACAGTTGTATAATCAGTAATTATTCCAGATCCCTGATTTGATTATTATACAGTTTCCTAATTAAATGTTGGTATCAACTGCAGGAGGTTTGAGCATGAACGATTTCATTGTTGCTGCTAAAATAGACGAGATACAAACATCAGATCTAGTCCCCAGAAAGAGAGTTTGGGCATGACAGCAGAATTATATGCCATGTTAGCTCCTCTTCTTTTTTCCAGCCTATCTAGCCATATTGATCAACTTTTACTACTTTTTTGTATTGAATTTTTGTTACAAAATCATTACATTTAGAGAAGACTGGAATTTAATGGAGCAGTGCCAATTCAAAGGGAACAGTACTATCAATTGTAATGGAGAGGTGTATATGTATTCGTCGTCCATCGATATTGTTGCGTTTCATTCTATTTATTCGACTTGCCGGAATATCATTGCAATGGCACGTAAAATAAATTAATTTTCGCTTATAGATTCTTTATGATGAAACATGACACATAGTTTTAAGATCCAAGCTTAAGGACCTCACGAAACAAATCCAAACTTAAACAATGCAGGAGAGAATAGAATGGGACGAGGATAAGAGAGTGTCCTAATTGAGAGGAAGATGGACACGAACACTCGTAGTTGCAAGTGTCCGGCAAACTGGGCAGGATCTGATGGTTGCCTCGCAACGTGAACAGATGCAAACATGGCTACATGGCCACAGCATCACCGTTGCAAGCCTGCTCTCGCAAACCTTGCACTTGAGCTTCACACTGAAATCCTGCTCCAGGTCCACATAAGATGACTCTGTGTCCTCTTCCTGCCTATCCTGGTACGGACGTGCTGATGTAGCTGTATGCAATGCTGCCCTCAGACTCATAAGCAATTGCTCCTTGGCCATCAACCTGCTCGATAAACTATCTGCCTCTGCTTTGTATTTTGACACCGTCTCTTCCAACTCCTTGTTCCTATCCGATAAACGTTGTGCTTCCTCTCTGCAACTTAACAACTTTGCTTCCAACTTCTCATTCTGATGCACCTCCTCCATCATTTCCATTTCCTTCTCTATCAGTTTCTCGACCACTCTTTCCTCCGCTGCGCACTGGAGTGCACGGTAATGCTCCCCCCACATTCCGGCCAACCCACGCCTCAAGTTCTCGTTCTGCACAAAACATACCGCATTAGATACACTCGAAAAAACCTGCAAAAACGAAAGGGACGAAGAAAAATCATTACATGGGTGTTGATCATATGATCAATTTGAACGCACTGGCTTTGCACATTTGGCGTGAGAATGCTGCTATCAGCTTCAGTTAGCATGGCTGTGAAAGATTTGAATGGAGCAACTATGTTCAAAATTTCTTGTGCATGGGATTGCCTTGTTAATTCTTCAACTTCTTTCAGTTTTCTCTTCCGAGATTCAATAGCATCTGCCAACCAAAAAAAAAACTGTGTAAAGATTTGAAACTATGTGTGCCAATAAGACATATACAAATACCTCCATTGTTGTTCAACATTGCAGAATTATTGATGTTCCCAATAAATGGCAGATTTACGGGACTGCAGAAATGAAAAGGGATGGTGAAACCCTCTACAACATCATCAATCAAATGACAGTAAATAAGAGAGAGAGAGAGAGAGAGAGAGAGAGACCTGTCAAAGAACAGAAGATGGAGTGGGTGGGGATGATGAACTGCCATGGACGATGATTATAAAGAAATTGAATCGGTGCTCGGCAACCTTTTGTACAACGGACACACTGGATCATACCAAGAGATGTGATTTTTCTTGGAATCACTTCGCAAAATAGATACAATTTTGAATGCGAAACATATACACACCATCAGTTTCAAAGATTGGTATATATCATTAAATTATAACTAAAAGTTATTGAAAAATATAAAAAAAAAAAAGAAGAAGAGGACGACGAAGAAGACGAAGAACATGTAGACATGATCTTCTTTTTATTTTCTTTTTGATCCTTGATTTCATATTTATCAAATATTGGATTGATTTTGCAAAGATTTCTTATTGCGTAATTTATGTTTGTTTAAATCTATACTTCATGGGCGTTCAAAAACCAAAAAAATCTATAAATCATTCTTTCAAAAGAAAAAAATGTCTTTTAACAGTGGGAAGCTCCCTTTTTTTCGCAGGAAAGAAAGATCATTTAATAGAGAATAATGTTATTCATCCCCAGTGAGAATGAAAACACAGTCTAGGTGGCGTTTATTTGCGCCACCTAGATTGTGTTTTCATCCCCAGTGGAGATGAATAGCATTACTCTTTACTAGATGCAATTTTCCAGCAAAGTATTTTTATTTTTTTTTAAAAGAAATTTAAGGGTTTGGCTAGGAATGTAAAGTAGATCATGCCATTTTATGGGTTCAGTTTAAAACTGTCAAAATGTGTCGACATGCTCTGGAGTGGAGCCAGGTGATGAAAAGGGGGAAACAAAAAAATCAATAAAAAAAATTATTTTTTACCTATAAAAAATGTACTAACCATAGGTTGTCCTATGTTAAAGCCCAGTTCCTGACTTGCTCGAAACACGTGTAAGAGGAAATTACACCAAATCATG